TCTGCTTGAAATGGACTTGGATAGCATATATTATTGAATAATTTAAGCCAAAGAAAAAAGTTTTATTGGTATAGCATCAAAAATGACGGTATAATAATATCAAAATAATAATATTCAAACTTTCATCCCTTACTTTATTTCTCCCCTTAAGGGTAATATTTTTTACAAATGAATATCTTACTTATTTATTCTTAATCAACAGCCTAACAAATAAGTCACATTTAGTTCCCATACAACCTTATACAATGTCCTCTTTCAACCCCTTACAACCCTTTTTTCGCATTTCAATCTTTGTACCAAAGTTCATTAAAATTGGTTCAGTACATTTGGCGCGAAAGCGCGACAGATAGAATTACTTTCGCATTTATAATATTAATAAGGAATTACTAATATTATAAATGCGAAAGTAGAAAGTTTAAAATTATTTGTATTAAGACACTAAGATAAAAGATAATAAAAATAAAAAAGATATAGTTCGAATTTCGAAATTTTTCAAATTCGAATAACAAAGTTTCTTATTGTTATTCCATTTAAAATGATTTCTTTGTTACTTCCTTAAGTCAATTTGTTATAGACATAAACTTATAGTATAAAGTTTGTTACTGACAAATCGATTTGGACTTTAGTGGATAAGTGATTGGGATGGTTTTATTGTTAAATTTCCCACAGGACGCACATTTCAATTGTGACGCAAAAACAACAAGGTAGTGAATATTTTCTGAGAATGTTTCAGAGAAAACAAAAAAATATATCTTATTTGTATATATTTACTGCTTCGGTGTCTAATTTTTATTTATTTTATTAAGGTCAGGCTGTACCTTACCTACATGGCCTATATTATAAATACTTTATAGACTAACATACATGAGAAATAATAATCATTTCATTATATAGTATAAAACAAACTCGCTGTAGCTGTCTGTCCGTCCCTATGTGTGCTTAAATCTTTAAAACTACGCAACGGATTTTAAGCGATTTTTTTAATAGCTAGAGTAATTCAAGTGGAAGGTTTATATATAATACATGTACACCCGGGCGAAGGGCGATGAGGCGGTGAGTAGCTAGTACTGACAACAGCATTCTGCCACGGTAGCGCCGATACACCACACCCTTCGGTCAGTAGTTCTTCTTGAAGGTGGGCAGCATGTTGGTGGGGACCCGGGCCACGAATGCTTTGAAGCTGGCTTTGTGACTCGATTCCAGCTGCGTCACCCTCGTGTCACTCTAATGGTTTACCACACTGCTTTACTTCCGACTGTCGAGGGTTCGATTCCTCGCACGGTACAAACATTTGTATTCATGAATGTAATTATTTGTATTGGTCTGTTATTTTCTATACAAAATATGTATTTCTGTACATATATGTGTATACACTTTTTTTTTCGCACATGTATTATATATATCATCCTTCGCTTGAATCACTCCATCTATAAAAAAAACGCTTCAAAATCCGTTGCGTAGTTTTAAAGATTTAAGCATACATATGGACGGACAGACAGCGACAGTGGCTTTGTTTTATACTATGTAATGATTATACTACATAAGACATCTATACACATAAATACATCGAAACAAAACGTATATATCATTCAGTCATAGCAACAAAAACAGAATATATTGATGTGAAGCCATAATCAGTTGAATTGTGATTGTCCTCTACATAATTATCTCTATCCGTCTGTCGGTACGACACCACTTAAAATAATTTCGGTTGACATACCTACACACAACAATTCAATTCAAATATAATAATAATTTCAAAATAATTCACACAGCGCCATCTAGACCCAAGTTAAGCTAGCTAAAGCTTGTGTATGGGGATAACTGATACAAATACATAAATTTTTTTTCGTAAATACATACATATTATACATAGGAAACACCCAAACTATCACAAATAGTCATACTCATGAATACAAATGTTTATCGAAGGAATCGAACCCGCGACCATGGGAAGTAAGGCGGTGTGCTAAACCGCTAGACCACCGAGGCGTCCAATTAAAAAAATATTTACTAATATGGAACGTTTTAGCAGCTTATGAACGTCAAATTTTTTTATAATTAATATTTCCCAATCGTCTAGTTCAATATACAGATTCAATTGAGAAGAGCTGGCAAGAAATTCGAACAAATTTCTTATTTCTTAAAGTCAGTTTATTTAAATTTCATTTTCTGTCTATGTCCAACGTTAAATGAAAATCCCATGCATGAACAACTATTGCATACATAATATATCATACTCATGAATACAAATGTTTGTACCGAGGAGTCGAACCCGCGAATATTGAAAGTAAAGCGTGTTAAACCACTACCAAGGTCGTCAACGTCAATAATGACTACATTATTACACTTCTTCTTTCCAATGAGAGTGTATTGTGCAATCTTATTCCTTCAGATCGAAACTTTAATTATGCACACAATACAACTCAATTGTTGAAATAGATAGATTGTAGTATCCACTCCGTTATTTGAGCTGCACAGAACTTTGCTATTTAAAACTTTGTGTATTCATTGCGATCTGGAACGTAATTACAGCAGACTCGCTTATTTGTTATGTAAAGTGTAGTTTCTTTTTAGGATTCCCAATCTAAGATTTTTTTTAATCTTACATTTTTTCAGACTTTTATCATCATTAGATTAAATATATATAACTCAAAGGTGACTGACATAGTGATCTATCAACGCACAGTCCAAACCACTGGATGGACCGGGCTGAAATTTGGCATGCAAGTAGATGTTATGATGTAGGCATCTGCTAAGAAAGGATTTTGATTAATTCTACCCCCAAAGGGATAAAATAGGGGATGAAAGTTTGTATGAAACTTTGTCAATTTTAAACCTATCGGGCTGAGACTTTGCATGCATAAATCTACTATGACGTAGGCATCCCCTAAGAAAGGATTTTGATAAATTTCAACCCTAAGGGGATAAATGAAGCCGCGGGCAAAAGCTAGTATAAAATAAAGTCGCTGTCGCTCTGTCAGTCGCTATGTATGCTTAAATCTTTAAAACTACGCAACGGATTTTGAAGTGTTTTTTTTAATAGATAGAGTAATTCAAGAGGAAGGTTTATATGTATAATACATGTACACCCGTGCGAAGCCGGGGCGAGTAGCTAGTAATATGATAATGACAGTCCCATCGTATTTTATTACTAAACTTATCTTCTAATATACAATGAAATCAAAAATTTCGCTGGTGATGATACAGGATCAGATTATATACCGTGGTATACCAACATCAAGCCGATTGAGTCCAAATTTAAGAAATTATGATTTTATTTTATCGATATCTATAATTATTAACAATCACGGGATCTTTTTTTAACCACATTTTTTTTTATTGAGATCCCTATATTTCGGCAGTGATTCAACCGCCATGATTACGGGTGAAATGACATACCTATATATATATTATACATAGAAAATACCCAGACCGACATGAACAGTAATACTCGTGAATGCAAATGTTTGTGCCGTGCGAGGAATCGAACCGGCGACCATCGGAATTAAGGCGGTTTGATAAACCTATAGATCACTGAAAATTGTTTATTTTGCAAGGAATGTGGTGTGCACAGTGGTTATAAATTGTGTACATATAGTTCCATACAGTCCGCCTCATTTGAAGACATGCAAAATTATATTACATAAAGAGGCGTTCATTATACTGTTACCATTATATCCATTGGTGGCCTAATTTATTTTGCAGATTAAAATACTAAAGAAGTTTCCGCAGCAGCGGTATTTCTTCTGAATAGCACTACAAAAGTTGAAGATTGCACAAGTTCAGTTGTTAAAGAGGAACGTGACCTAACACTTACTGGTTTATGGTCTATAATAGTAAAACTTAGGCAGCAGTTGCGTATAGTGAAAAAAATAAGTGCTTACGGAGTTTTCGTGTATACTAGTACAATCCCGCTGTTTCACTCAAATTCGAAAGCTTAACTGCCTGCTTGTGAAATATTCATAATGAAATATTTTTTTAACTCTGGATGATGGACACAGTGCCATCTAGTTCCAAGCAGAGCGTGTGTTATGGGTACTAGACAACTGATACAATACTTAGATACTGTTTTTGTAAATATATAATGTACATAGAAAACAGCCAGACCGATACAAACAATCATACTCATGAATAAAATTGTTTGTACCGTGCGAGAAATCGAACCCGCGACCATCGGAAGTAAAGCGATGATGAACTTATTACAATGAATACTGATTTATATTCATCTTTTAATGTTGACACCTATGGTTTAAAAAAAATAACTATATAAAATTAATAGTTGGTTAATACTTAACCATTTCACTTAATTTGATTTTTGTAGGAAAACTTTTGTTAACTTGTTCAGTTTTTGCCCAATATAATGGATATTGGGATTTTTATATATAAAATGTTTAGATAAAACAATTTCAGTTAAACATTTTTGTTAAATGAACAAAGCAACCAATATTAACAATCTTGTGATGGTAGATGAAAAAACTGCTGTCACCTATCTACATTGACATCGCTGTTACTCCAGTCAGTTCGTGACCACGGCTAGTGCAACCTAGTCGATACGTCCAGATAGGTAAATACCTTTATTTGCCATAAAATTATTACTGTTAAGAGCCGATTAATAATTTAAATACCTATTTATGTATATTAAATACGAAAGTTTAAAAATGACTATTAATATCCGAAACCAATTATAATTAACCTTATGTGTGTAATTTTTCTTTTTCATATTTTGGCCTGAATTCCATTGTCTGCAATTATGCGACATATACATTCGTAAACTAGAGATGTTTATTTAAACTTCCTACTCAATTTTTTTTCTCTGGGATGTGGAAATATATTTCGTACTAAAGTGTCCAATGACCTTTGATATAAAGATAGACTGTGTTACGAGGATCCACATATATTAGGTTTTCTCAGAAAAGCTGAGTATGTCGAGAGTAAATATACAGTTAATTGTTCAGGAGATGAAAAATACTAAATGAAACCTTCTTATTTTAGCCTCACTAGATATAAAATTTAATTCAATACAAAAATATACATTTATCATTTGTTAATAGAAGTAAAATTAACATATACAATTTTAAGCGTGTTTATCTTTGAGGACCCTTCTTAAGAGTTTTCCAGAAGGATTTTTTGGAAGACTGTCCAAGAATACGATTTCTTTGATTCTTTTAAATTCAGCCACTCTTTCTGATACGTAATTTAATATGTTTGCTTCTTCAACATTAGAGCCCTCTTTTACAACGACAAATGCTTTCGGAATTTCTCCGGTTCTTGGATCAGGCACGCCAACTACACCAGCATCTTGAACATCGGGATGTTCTCGGAGAATGCTTTCTAACTCCGCGGGTGCTACTTGATAACCTTTCACCTGGAATTAACAATAAAGATAACTAAAGTCTTACTTTAACAAAGAAAAAAACAAAGGAATATAGAATGTAAGGAATAAACCTTCGCAGAGCTACAAGTAAGTATATATTTAAAAGGAAACTATTTAATTAACTATTGAATCATCAAAATGAGCTTTAATTGTTTGGCGTTGTGATGAGTAGGTACTTTAAACTATACTTGGAATGTTTATATTTATTTATTCTGTGTTATTTATGTATTTTGCATATATGTACATAGATGTTACTATAGCATTTATATAATATAGTATTATCGTCACAGATTTTCGTCATGACTGCACTACAACGCTTTCTATTTCTACCTAAAGGTTAGCTGGTAGAGAATATGGCATTAAGCTTGCCTTTTGTGCACTATTTATTGTACAATAAAAAATTAAAAAAAATATAAGAACGAAGGAAAGAAATTGTCAATCAATAATATTCATGTATAAAATTACATTTAGAAAAGAAATAACTAGGCACAGAGTCAACTGACTGATACTCTGGTGAAATGAAACATAAAGGAAATACGGTTACTAAAAAAATCATCAGAAAAGGTGGTAGGCTTCCTCCTGCCACGTTAGATTTAAATATATATTGAGCATATCAAGTTTGTTCATCTGTGTTACGTTCATCAGACACTGCGTTCATCACAACATCAACAGTTAACAATGCTTCTAATTATTCCATATATGGGATAACAGTGGCAAAGGTATATTTTGTGTTTCTTCTTTGTGAGATATATTTCAGTGCCAAGTGCAAAATATAGCACAAAAAATGCAAAATTACAGAAAGACGATGCCTTGGTCCTCCTAAATGGTAACGCATAAGTTGTACGATAAGCTTCATATCATGTATAGCTAGTTAACAAAAACTTTACGAGTATATGACAATTTTTTCCATAATTACCTTTATCAATTCTTTAACTCTATCAGTTATAGTAACAGCGCCCTCCTCGTCAATAGAAGCAATATCACCAGTCTTAAACCATCCATCTTCTGTGATTGCGTTTTTTGTTGCTTCCACATTATTTCTATAGCCTTTCATAACTTGAGGACCTCGTACTAATAGTTCACCTACCTGTAAAATTAACAGAAATACATATGTTGTTTGCTGTTTCCTTATACTATATGAGAAGTTTTTGAGCCATATTTTATCTTTATCAATTTACTTATGTTTTAATGTACAAAAATATTGAAGTGTCATTCAATGCTACAGTGAAAGATGAAATTTAAGTAAAGTAATTTTTCGTTGAGTATTTGTGTTTTAAATATTTTTCTCAATTGTTTACACTATATAAAGGGGATATCTATTATACTGTTTCTGATCTTCTGGTATTTCGACTCTATTACATATGTTCTGATCACCGGTTGATTGACATATATATTACTATATGTATACTAGTATTCTTATATTTCATAAAAAAGTTTATACTATCTCTTGGTAGATAGGTGGATACGTAGCTGCCTGTGGTTAAAGGGGCAAGTACACTAAAGTAAGAAGGAATTCAGGCGAGAGTTGGTCTTCAGCCGCTCCATAAGTCCTTCCGCGGGTTTTGAGTGACATCTGCACTCGCCTCCAATCGCCCGGTGAAGCTGTATAGGCCAGCTGCGGCCAACAGCATTAGAGTAGTCCGAGAAAAATATATAAAGTGGGACATCGCATAGGAGCCGTGGTCCCCGCGACTCGCTAATAACTTCTACCTCAGTGTTAGAAGGTATATACCTTCTAATAACCTTCATCTGTATACCTTGGAGTTTTTAGTGAATAGGAGTTTCATAATACTTGTCTCCCCGGGGCGAGCGGATCTACATTAAGGATTTTTGCCAAGTAAAAAAGATGCCTATTGAAAATTCGTCTTTCTAATTTTAGAATTGACGTATATTGAGATGCTAATTTGCTTAATTTATTTATTCAGTTGATACCAATGATATTTACCTCATTAGGTCCCAAGGCATTGCCGTCATTATTTACAATTTTTATTTCAGTGTTGGGAATAGCAACACCAGCTGTTACGTAGTTCTTACCATTATTTGGCATAGTTGTAACTAATGGAGCTGTTTCTGTTAGTCCATACAGTTGCAAGAAATCCAAATTTTGCTGTAAATTAAGACATGTAAATATTTACTTAAAAGACTAGCTGTGCCCGTGACTTCGTCAGCGTGGAATAGACGGCGAATGACAAATTTCCATATAAACTTTTATCCCCTTTTATTTTATTCCCCTGAGTGTACTTTTTTAAACTTTCAATTAATTAACAACCTAATAAAATATGTTTCAAGCTTCTAGCTTTAAAAAAGACGAAACTTCCATACAACCTTTCATCTCCTTTTCAATCCCTTTTCTGTATTAAAATCTTGTCTATGCCCTTGTTCAGGGTCTAGACCATCTGTGTATCAAAATTCATTTAAATTGGTTCAGTAGTTTTGGCTTGAAAGCAAGACAGACGGACAGAGTTACTTTTGTATTCATACTATTAGTAAGCAAGCAAGCATCACTCATATCAATATACTTAGTCTCCAAAATAATTGATCTTTAATGGCAAAATCGATTATTTTTTGAGTTAGTTAACTATAAATATATGAATCAAATAACTATATAATGTTATATGGGACCTGATCAAAATAGATTTACTTAAATAAATCAATTTAAGTCAAACAAAAATGTAAAACTTAACTTAATAAGAGCACGGAATTTCTGTATGTGGTTATTAAAATTAAAAAAAAAAAAAACTATATAATGAATATAAACTGGTATCTGCCTGTCAGAACACAGACAGTTCAAGGTGATCTAGCATAAGAAATAGTAATACTGGTTTAAGGATCCTGTACTATGTTAAATAATATATTTTGTTATAAACATAACTCAAATTAAAACTCTCAAATATAACTCATACTTGTAATTTAATTTAATAAATATATATTATGATTATTATACTGTTATTATTTATTTACATTTGAATGCAATATTGAATAGAATTTTACAGAAACAATTACCCCTATAATTGGATCAGATTTACCATATTATTTTATGTACAGAGTTCCCAGTACGATTCCAAGTATTATTACAATAATAATAATATTTCTGGATATATCACACAGCGCCATCTAGTACCAAGCTAAGCAGAGCTTGTGTTATGGGTACTAGACAACTGATATTACTAGAGTAGATATACTTAGATACATTTTTTGTAAATGTATACAGTATATACAGCACATAGAAAACACCCAGACCAATACAAGTAATCATACTCACGGATAGAAGTGTTTGTACCGTGCGCGGAATCGAACCCGCGACCATAGAATGTAAAGCGCTGTGCTAAACTACTAGACCACCGAGGCTATCAAATTTCCGAGATTCCAAGGATATAACAGTTACAAGTTGTATTTTTTTCTTACCTTTGCTTTGCTCAATACTCGGTAAATGTCTAATTTTGGGAGCGGTGCTGCACCGCATGTGATAATGTTTATGTTCTCTAAATGTTCATTTTTGACTTCAGGATTAGATCCCAAGAATAATACTGAAATGACAATTTTTTAAAGTTATTTTGAATATATTTCAAATGTGTTTAAAATAAAAAAAATTAATCAAATCAATATCAAAGTCAAAATCAAAATATAATCACAATTAAATTCAAAATCAAATTTAAAATCGAATTAATATTATAGTGTTATTGAATACATATTATAAAGTTTAAGTAATATTGCAATTTGGTTTAACGAAACATATTCGTTTATGAAGATATTTTGTTAAGATTAAGAAGAACGAAAAAAACGAAACGAAATTTAACTTTAGTGCAAAAATCACGTAAATATTTATGCAAAAAGATTGAAAGTATTCAGATCTACAAAGAATGATTAAATAGTATGTTATCAGTTAATAATAATAATAATCTCAAGACAATTGACACAGCGCCCTCTAGTCCCAAGTTAAGCTATCTAAAGCTTGTGTTATAGGTGCTAGATAACTGATACAAACAATCATATTCATGAATACAAATATTTGTAACGTGCGAGGAATCGAATCTGCGACCATCGGAAATAAGGCAGTGTGCAAAACCGCTAGACTACCGAGATCGTCAAGGTAAATGATGATTATATTGATTTATGAATATGTACTTGCGACAAAGAATAAGAAAGTAAAGATCGTCAAGGTAAATGATGATGATATTGATTTATGAATAATTATTTAAGTGACAAAGAAAGAGAAAGAAAGAAATCTTACTCAGTGGAGGCGCTGCACAAAATATACTAATTTTCTGCTCCTGTAACGTAGTTAAAAGACTCTGTGGCTGAAATTTAGGCAGAGTAACAACTTTCACTCCAACCGATAGCTTATGTAGTAAAATAATTGACAAGCCGTAAATATGATAAAATGGTAAAACTGCCAATATCGCATCCTGATAAGAGCCTGGAAGAAGTGTTTGACTTTTTAGTTTCTAGTTATACTTATTTAGAACTAGTTGTGCCCGCGGCATCTACCGTACGAAATTTGTAGCTTTTAGAAATATGTGTTTAGTTTTTTTCTAGCTATTTTACCCTTATAAAATTTGTAGCCTATATCTTATTCTCATGTATAAGCAATATTACTGTAAAGTTACATAAAAATCCGTTCAGTAGCTTTTGCGTGAAAGAGTAACAAACATCCATCCATCCTTCTATCCATCTTATCCTATATAATCATAATAATAATATATATAAATTGTTCAATTCTGTATTTTTGTTCAATTAAAATTGGTAATCGCACACATTTTTTCTAAATAGACTCTTACCTGTGGTATCCTGGTAGTGTCTTAGTCCTACAGTATTTTGCTGAGCACAATTTGATACGATATTTCTATTAGTCAGCTCTACACCTTTAGGAAGACCTGTTGTGCCACTGGAATATGGTAAGAGAGCTACATCGTCTGGCGTTCTAGAAACTTCTTTGAGGACATCATAATCTACATGAACAGCATTAGCTAGTTCATCTAATGATATAACACCGTCCGGTAATTCATTACTAATGTATCCTTTACAAGCAATTATAGGAATATTCATCTTGGACAATTTAAGTGCATCTTTTATAACTGGAATAGTTTCTGGATTGCCAATTACTAATTTTGGTTTTGAAAGCAAAAGCTGTCTATGTACTTCATCTGTAAAATAAACGTTAATCTTTATTAAAATTAGAGATTCGTTTCTACTGGAATTACCCCAAAATAAATTTAAAACATCTCTTAAATCATATTTACTGAGCAAAGCCTATTACTCACTAGACGATTACTTGAATAACGAGCGTGCTTGGCAATATTGTTCATGCACGGGATTTTCATTTAATGTTAGACATAGACACCTATATAAATATACATTGTAAATAAACTGGCTTTAAAAAAAGAGTAATTCAATTGAATTTATTTATATACTGAACTGGACTGTAGGAACAAAATTATAATATAAAACATTTGACGTTCATAAGCGGCTAAAATGTCCTACATAAATAAATGATTTTTCAATTTGAATGCTAGACCCAAGTGGTCTTATCTTTTTGTATTCTATATATATTAACACCGCATGTAATTAAACACGCTATTAAGAAATAAGGGTTAGTGATAGAAGTGTGAAAATTTAGGTTGCATGTATTTTTTAAAAAGAAATGATAAATAAATTGTCCAAAAAGTATAAGTTAGGGGTGGGGTATGAAAAATAAATAGAAGCCAATTGTCAGACCTACTGAATATGCATAAAAAATTTCATAAAAATCGGTCAAACTGTCACGGAGGATATTGGTAACTAACATTGTGACACGAAAATTTTATAGAAGAGATAATATTCAATTTAAAAACAGCAAAGAATATATAAAATCCGTGTAGTAATTACAGAGGATCTATTTCTCGTAACAAAATCTGACCTCTCTCTCTTCCTTTATAATTTTTAATTTAACTTCATCAAAATTAGGTTAAGTAAAACAAAGGCTTGTGAAGCTCTTTCGCTTATTAGGACTTATTAGGACAATGAAAGTTTAGTCAAACATTTAATTTTCGAAGAATATATAACAAAGATCTTTTAAGAAGTAACAAAGTACCTTAAGAAGTAGGTCAAAATATTACTATATTTTCAGTATACAAGTATTCTATAGCAAGATGGAAATAAGATTTTTTTACTGACATCGTTTTTATAGTTATAATCGCTGTGCCCGCGACTTCGTCTGCGTGTTATAGTAACATTGACTAAATAACGAAAAAATATTCAATAATTAAAAAAAGGCAAAGAAAAAAGTTGCATCATTATAGCTTCAAAAATGACGAATTTCCATCCCCTTTTTTATTGTACCCCCTCAAAATACTAATTAATTATACATGATTTTTATATTAAAATATAAGTAACATAATTTTTTATTCGTGATATATAGATATGAACTGCAACATGGATTTCCAAAAATATATAGAGACATCAGTAGTAACTTATTAGTTGCTATTACTGAGAAGTTAAGGACTAAGATGGTAATTAACGGGTCCATATTACTCTATTTATTTAATTGTAATATAAATTAATTCAATCAGGAAATATATTTGCACAAAATAAAACCTAATTCGATAAAACATAAGATGTAATTTCCCAGTAACTTGTAACTTAACTACTCTATTTTCCACTCAATTTTAACCGGTATTCTTTTGAACGGGTGCCGCTTGTAGGGACTGGTCTGTTCTGATAACTATGACTGATTTATTTTGTTAAACAAGCAACCATTTATTTACTTATATCAACTAGCTGTTTGATAGTTTCTATTCACATAGAATCTTAAAATTATGAATAACATTTATTTAAAAGAGAAACATGGGACTTTTAGATCATTAGTCTTCTTATGAATCTGTGTTTCAAATGAGTGGTAGAATAAAAAAATACGACTATTCAAAAGTATTTATATTAAGTTTATTTGCATAAAGAATTTGTATTTCTATTTTAAATCGTAATACAGCTTGCAAAATAAGTTATTGGCGGTAATAATAATAAAATAGAGGCACCTTAGATCACTTAGTGCAAAGTCTAGTAACGAAACTTTACTTACGAGCTGTATAAATAGGATTCACTGTAGTCACTTCAGCACCAGCTTGCAGTGTTCCAAGTATGGCCAATGCATAATCTGGTGAGTTTGACATCATAATACATATAACATCGCCATCTCGTATTTGAAGACTACTCCTCAATTTTGCTGCCAGATTCCTTGAACTCTTGTACAGTTCATGATACGTGAAGGATCGTTTTGTAATGCCACATAGCTACAAATAAACAGAAATTAAACAATAAGTACAGAAAGATACAAACTACCAGACTGACTTGACTTTGTTCTGATAACTTAGCAATAGGTATCCTATTGCTAAGTTATCAGAACAAAGTCAAACGTGGAGGTCTAATTATTGTTGCGTTAAAAAAATTGTTACATAAATATTAATTAATGTATCACGTTTAGTTTTTGTTATTTTTTGTTAAGACCGCTCGGTATAGTCCTTCTTCTTCTTTGGTCGTACACACTTAACAGAGCGGTTGTGGTTTTCAAGATGGTACCTCTTCGTTGTCCTCCTTGGCTACAGAGCTCCTCGCAATTTGTCTCCATCTGGTACGGTTTTTGACTGTACGAGAACATTGTACAATGGACTGCTGTATAGCTGTTGTGTGTATGTAAAATACCATATTATAGTATTTTCTATAAAATTCAGCTGGAATCAACTTCAATGTATATTAATTTATTTCCATGAGATAACTACTTGCCATGGGAGAGGTGTATCGACGTTGTCGTGGAAGGCTATCGAAAACAGTGTTATAACCACGAAACAAATATTTATGTTATTATTTTATATATGGTCTATAAAATTGCTCGAATTAAGTATACAATGAGAAAAGAATCATCATAATAAACATAAATTTATAAGCAGTAATCATATTAATCAACTATATAATAGATAACCGATATAGATACTTAAATACTTTTTCTGTAAATACATACATAATATGCTTAGAAAACATCCAGATCATTGCAAACATTCATATTCATGAGTACAAATGTTTTCCTTGTGCGACGAATCAAACCCGCGACCATTGACAGTAAAGCGGTATACTACGCCGCTAAACCAAAGAGGTCATAAGCAGTAAATGTTCTCTTATCTGTAGTAGTAATCTATCTCAAAGTTGTACCTCCGGGTAGAGTTAAAAAGTATAATAAAATAATTACATGCACAAATAGCAAAATTGTCCTAAATGTTTAAATAAATGGTATGACCTTAATTTCAACTGTATTTGAATACAATGTCAATGATAAGGTTTATAGACTGATAAAGAATTGTGATAAGAATCCTATTTAATCTCAAATGGACAGACGCTTATCATTCGTTTCATTTTTAAAACATTCTACAGTTAATTAAATAACCAGATTATATACAATTAAGAATTAATCAATCAATTTAATTTTACAAGTAATTTTAATGCAATTCATTAAATAGTTTATTTCTATACTATTGCACATTGAATTACTCACTTTTATTTCACGCATAAACATCTAAAAAAAGATGTCTAGTTGTCTAGTAATCATCATTCTTTAAATATTAACACTATATTTCAAGCATATAAATATAAATTAAACTACTTATATGTATCAATTATTTCTTCTTCCCACGCAATTTATACACTTATCAGGTCATTGACCAAAGGTGAAGGTTTTTTTATAGTCACGTAAGTTTTCAAGTCGTACGTACTTGTTGATATTACATATATTAAATTATGCGGTATAATAAAGCGATTAATTAATTGCGTAAAGTTTTACAACAAATTACCAGAGTCTGTTATAAATCTGACTGAAAAGATTTAAATGTCATATAAAATACTTACTTTGCAAAAAAGTTTACTATAAAATTAAAGAATACGTTAAAAATAATAATGTTTTTATAGAAAAACTTAAAATCTATAGCACTGACAATATTATCTTATTACACTAATTATGAGTACGTAGCGATTTCTATGTTGATTATCGCATGCCTCTTACTTGTTATACTCTAATTATTCATATAAAAAACATCTATTAAAAAAAGCAACACACAAGTTTCTTGCTCATTCTTCTTGTGATGAATTTGCATTCCGAATGAGTGGTAGAATCAAAATATGACAAATTCAAAAGTGCTTGTAATGAGTTTATTTGAATAAAGATTATTTCTATTTCTATTTCTGATTATAGTTGTGTAATAGAGTGATTGTTAGTTATGTGGACTAATAATCCTATTGCTAGCAATGTACCATGTCAGATTGACTTCCACGCGGTTCCCTCTGAATGCCACGTGATAATTTCCTGTTAAATTTGCCGTGATGGACTACCTGACCTGACCTCATACTCATCTTCCCATCCTCCACTGATGCTCCGCCAGCCCAAACCGATAGCGCAGGCGGGAGCGTTATCATATATTAAAAAAACGACCTCAAGATAATTAAATAAATAAATAAATCAGGACAATTCACACAACGCCATCTAGTTGCAAGATAAGCAGAGTTTGTGTTATTGACTACTAGAGATCCAATACAGATAATTCAATACACTTTTTTTGTAAATACACACATAAAATACATAGGAAATATATAAACCAATACAAACAACCATACTCATGAATACAAATGTTTGCATCGTGCGAAGAATCGAACTCGTGCGTGACCATCGCAAGAAAAACGGTGTGCTAAACCACTAGACCACTGAGGCTATCATTTTTATTTATGACTAGCTGTACTCGCGACTTCGTCTGCGTGGAATTTAACTTCATTTTTGTAAAGTAAAAGTAGCCTAAGTACTTATTCTTACGTCAGCTACCTGCCAATAAAAGTCCTGTCAAAATCGGTCCAGCCATTTCAGAGATTAGCCGGAACAAACAGACAGACAGACAAAAATTGTTAAAAAATGTTTTTTTGTTTTATGTACCGTATTTATATTCATATGCATGTGGTAAAAAACTGTTATTTCAATATTACAAACAGACACTCCAATTTTATTTATATGTATAGACTATATAGCGCTATATGAATATGCTATATGAATTTTCCTGTCTTATTATTTCTAAAAGTCTACTTACAACAGCAGTCTTGTCGGGCCATTTGTCCAAATTCTCCCATATATGTTCAGATATCAATGTATTGGGTAAATCCACATCTTTGGCTGGTGATTTTACTATATTACCTGTAGTCCACGTACTTTCGTTTACATGTTTATTCAATATATAGTTACGGCTTACTAATAGTCTTGTTATGCTTCTAGAAAATACTTTTACAGTTGCCATTTTGTTCTGAAATAATAGTAATAATATTTACAAATACATTAGTGCACTAGTATATATAGTAGGGGTTGCCCACTGGTCGAAATTTCCGCTCCGATCGATCCCCCGTTCAATTCAAACGGGGATCGATATTACGACGGCCTGAGCCGAGGTTCGAACCCCTAGCGGTGCCCTCAGACTAAAGTATCCGTCAGGCGGAAGTTGGACTTCAGCCACTCCATAACAATTATTACATATTTTTCGGACTACTCTAGTGCTGTTGGCCGCAGCTGGCCTACAGCTTCACCGGCGGCTACGGCTGACCGGCTGAAGGCCAACTCCTGCCAGACGGATACGACTTTAGTCTGAGGGCATCACTAGGGGCTCGAACCTCGTCTCAATATTCAATATTCCGTCTCATTATTATTATTAAGTTAATAATTATCCCATGTTACAGCTATTGAAGCTGCAATTAGTTTTATTGTTATTGTTTAATTAGTATTATTTTTATTATTATTATGTTTTGTTTCTCATTCTGAATTGTGGCTTTTTGGAGGATGTATGTTTTATTAGTGTATTGTTTTATGTATTATTATTTACACTATTGTCGCACTTTCATCAGCTTATTATTATTATTATTATGTGTATTTTAATGTCTCTTCTTTTATTTGGTTCAAAAGAAGGTAATACGGTATGTATACACACACACGGGTCTTAGCCAAGTGTAGGAGAGGTTGCGCTATGTGAAGATGTTATAATTGGGAATGTCAGTAATTTTCTAGTAATGTGACAGGTATTCAGTATTGTCTCTTTTTGTACTGTTATTATTATTGTGCTATATAATTCTTAGTCCCTTTGATGAGGTTATAAATTTGTCTTTGCGGATGAAAATACCGAACAATGACAACTGTATAAGAAATTATTATGATTAATATTTTTTTAATGGGAGATAAAATTTGTAGACGTACAGGTGTTTAGTATTATTATTATTGTTTAATTTGAGGCATACATTTAATAATATATAAATATATTAATTATTTATATAGAGACATATGTACATCAGAATATACTTTGTATTATTGATGTATTATTATCGTTTATGTACCAGTTATCGATAAGTTTAAATAAATAAATAAACAGCTGTATTGATCAACATCTTTTATCAATAATAATGTTTATTTTTTACTTCATTTGAAGTAACGACATGCAGTTACCGAGGAGCTGTCTCTCGCGTACACTTACCATAGATTGTGGATTGGACTACCTGCTGAGGTTTTCTCGAGAGACTAAAGCATGGGCTTTTCAAGAAGGGTCTATTAAGGTCGGTAATAAGCACGTGACGAGACTGGTGTTTCAGGCGTCCTTAGGCAGGATAACCGTTTACCATCAGATGGGCCGTATGCTTGATTGTCACCATCATAATATAAAATAAACCTATAATATATTCCATACAAATTACCTTTATTATTTGTTTCAAATATGGTAGTTCATTGTTAAACATAGTAATGTAAGTAATATATTTACATATATCGGGTTATTTTGTTCTCTACATTCAAAATATTCGATTACATTCCGAATTATTTGTAAACATTTTCATTCCACCAAATTCACGGTATTCCAATAGTTCAATCGCTATATGATTAATAAATAAAAACATTCGATAGAGTAATGAATGAAAAATATTTGCAATATTTGTAATTGACCCCTACAAAGGAACTTGGGACAAAGGATAATTTCAATAATATAATTCATATTACTTTTGTGAGACATAAAATAACTTAACTATTAAAATATTTTAATAAATAATGTAATTGTTTAATGAAGTGAGATTGAAGAGAGATTGCAGTCTTAAATATTTTTATATAGTTTTTGAAAAAAAGATCATTAATTGCTATAAACAAACATATTTACGTATTCTATGTAATTTTATGCCAATATTTGTTTAAAAAATCCTAATTGCATTATTATATTATTTATTTCTTGTACGTAGGTATATCATACAGAGACGTTACACTTTTTTTTAAACTATTTAGTACTTAGATACACTTATGTATTTTTATATACATACTTTTTTTTCTTACACATTAGTATTATTTTGTATAATATCTGTTTCATATTTATATTTTGTGTGCGTGTAATTTTGAAAGATAGCGCTGGAAACTATGTTTTCAGCATTATGCTGAGTGTTGTAAATTGTTGTTTTTATTTTTTTTAGTTGTTATTGTTGTATCAAGCAATAACAACTAAAAAAAAAATAAAAACAAAATATGAAACAGATTTTAGACACAATAACACTAATATGTAATCAATAAAATTCTATTCTGTCTATAATATTTTAGAATTATTTATTAGATACTACTCGTAATTTTTAGTTTTTTATTTAAGTTACTTTGTGTTTTTAGACTGTACACGGTTATAGACAGGCATCTAGAGCATTTCAGGTAGAACTACATGTATGTCTTAAAGAGACTCTGAATACGCAATCCCTCCCACATTCCAGGTACTTATTCACGTGTCGTGATCGTTTGCGCTGACTGTTTGTACATCAATTCCATTACATGCTGAGTACTATAATTATTAATAGGTAATAAAATATACAAAGATATATCTACGTATAAAGATATACATATATATATCTTATCTACGCTATAGCGTATTCAACTTCAAATGGCATAGTCAGAGATACTATCAACTATAACCATCATTGCTGGGACAAGTTCAAATTAAAAAATCATTTATTAATGTAGGACTTTTTTGCCGCTTATGAATGTAAAAAATTGTATACTATTTTTTTTCCGTACCGTCCAATTCAGTATACAGATCAAATTAAGAAGAACTGGCAAGAAACTCAATTGATTTTTTTTTAAAGCCAGTTTTTTTATAATGTATATCTATATAGGTGTCTGTGTCTAAGTATGGACTTCAATATTTGCCAACTAAATATACTCAGTAAATAATACCAAGTCATGTGTTGAGTTGGCTACATTCTTACTTTGGTTTCTTAAGGGTTGTCAACCCTTAAGAAACCGGGTACGTGACTATGGGGGGAAAGGGGACTGTTAGTAATGTGGATTGATTATCTTCTTGCTAGCAATGTACCATGTCAGTTTGACCTCCACGCGGTTCCCCCTGGAAACCATAGTGATAAATTCTTGGTGAATTTGTCACGATGGGCTAACGGACCTGACCTCATGCTCATCTTATCATCCTCCACTGGTGCCAGCCAGCGTAAACCGTTAGCGCAAGCGGGTGCACCATTCCATTAAAATCTATAAAAAAACGCGTACGTGATATCCCTGTTATTTCAGGCGTCCATTGACTACAGTAACCATTTGCCATTAGATAGGCCGTATGCTTGTTTGCCATCTACGTAGTATAAAAAAATGTGCACGTAGAATTTTAACTAGATCCTTGAAGTTGTGAAATAGATTTATAAAGGAACAACAAAATGTTGTATTGTTAGGAGAAATTCCAGTAACAACTATTTAGAAATATAAAATTTTTGCTATTGTTTATTGCAATATTTATTGCAACAACTTTATTAATTGACGCTTGACGGGGTTTAGCATTATAGCCAGTTTAAATCTGCTCTGACCATTATACGAGCATTTTAAAAGCATTTTTGCGTTCTGTTTCATTTATTTCTGAACAATGTTACACTTTGTTTGAGAGTCTTTTACTATGAACATACCCGGATCTATATCCTAATATATGTTGTTGGTGTATGTTTGTTTAGTATTTAACACGTTTGTGATACTATTGTACTACTGTTAAGATTGTTTTGTCATTATGTATATTATAAAAGACGTTATATAATACAAAGTTAACTACATGAATATATTTTACAAACTAGCTGACTCCCGCGACTTCGTCCTTGGAATTTAACTTTATTTATCTAAAATATAAGAATTTTCTAAAATAAAGTAGCCTAAGTTACTTCTTATTACGTTAGCTACCTGTCAAAAAAAGTCTTGTCAATATCGGTCCAACTATTTCAGAGATTAGCCGGAACAAACAGACTGACAGACAGTTATATTTTTGTATGTACCGTGTTTATATTAATATGCATGTAGTAAAAAACGGTTATTTCAATGTTACAAATAGACACTTCAATTTTAGTTATATGTATATAAAAATATTTAATATCATTTGTAAGATATATCATATACCTATATCTTACAAATAATATTAAATATTTTATTAAAAACTACTCGCCCCGGCTTCGCATGTATTATATATATGTTTATATATTCCTCTATCTATTTATAAAAACCGCTCCAAAATCTGTTGTGTAGTTTATTTAAGCATACATCTGGACGGACAGACAGCGACAGAGACTTTGTTTTATACTATGTAATGATACATTTTACCCACAAAACTTCTATATTTAAATTAGAAGTTATAATATAATAAAATTTTGTCGTCATTATTATGAAAGACCTGTTGTTTACATTTTTAGAGGCACATTCTGATTATTTTTTTAATACAGATTTTGTACTAATTAATTATTTTGTGTTGCTTAATATGTATTAAGTATTTACTTATACATTTTTATGGTTATGGTGTGTGTGTATTTACAATGTACACTAATGTACAGCCTATTAAATGGTAAAACTAGTTTAAATCCGTGAAGTCATGATAATTATTCTGGCTCGAGTAATTATACTTAATTTTAACATCTGAGTTAAAAAAATCTGGATATAATAATACACATTTATATGTTTATATAGGATATTTTTTATAATATTTATAGTATATACTTTAACTAATTTAATTATTTTATAAATTAGACACATCGGTAACTGTATAATAATTTGCATTATAATGAAATACGTTCTTATGTAGTACAAACCTATCAGTAATATCAGTAAAAAAAAATATATACATATATATATATATAAACTTCTGTAAACAATATCGCATGCCGTGGCAATTAGTAATTAAGTCAACTCTATATACCTGAACTCTTTGCAAGTTATAATAATTGTAACCTCATGGTGTATGTCTTGTTGGTCGCTCAAATAAATAAATAAATAAATAAGTAATGTAGAACTTAGTAATAAAAAAAATATTATTTCAAAATAAAAATAAAATAAAAGATAAAAATAAAAATACATACCTCATATAATTTAATAATTGTTACTCGTAATTACTAATGTCACGTGACATATCACTTACACTACTAAATATACACTTAAAAATATTATCACTACCACATAACTGTTATCATTTATAGTTATAGATTAGTGTTGATATAAATTTATCTTTTTTACAGTCCAATAAATTGGCTATTTTTATGTTAGAAGTGTAATTATCGGTAATCTTTTTTATATAACAGTGTTAATATAAATATATAAATGTGATCAACTTAGCTATGAATGTTTGTATGGAGTGCACACTCGAATGTATGAATAATGACTGATGAATGAGAGTCAATGACAAAATAACAGCTTGTTATAGAGTAAGGATCTGTTCACACTGAGTTGATAGCGCGGCAAGATGCTTTAGTGTCACGATTTATTACATTTATTTTCAGTCTCAACAATGTTAATGATATCTATTTATTTCCGTTATATATATACGACATTATTATTTGACATACAGTATTATTCTTTTAATTAATACTAGCTATTTGCCCCGGTTTCGCCCGGGTGTACGTGTACTATATATATAAACATGCCTCTAGACTCACTCTATCTATTTAAAAAAAACCTTCAAAATTCGTTACGTAGTTTTAAAGATTTAAACATATGCCACTAGAATTTATATTTTTACTATACATTAAAAATAGCCATCACATTTTATTTAATTTTATTTTTATATAAATTTCATTAAAACTATATGATAAGTTCATTACAACTTATTATATAGTTTTAAAATAGAATAGAAATAGTTGCGTAACGAATAGTTTATAAATTGTTCAAATTTCTGAGGTCCAGACATTGTAATTCGCTTGTTGTCGCTTTGTCGCTTCCTGTCGCGACATTTCAATGTGAATTGGCCTTAACCGGTTTCTATAATGTTCATTGCCATCCAACCACTCTCAGCATATATTTTGATACTTTGTCATGTCACTGTTGATAACGAGATAACAATAGTTGTTGAGGAATGTCTATCTTATTTACTTTTATATAATATAACTGTTTATGTAATCATTAGTTGATAGTTAGTATTGTATTGGAAGTGATATTTAGTAATTTTCATAACAGGCTATACCCATTTCAGTATTTGTTTTATTTTATTTTTTTATAAGACTGGTATTGTAAATAGAAATTGAGGGAAAAATGTCCTACATGAATAAATTATTTTTGAATTTGAATTTGAAATTGAAATAATATATGAATAGACAAGATAATGTTGGTCTCAATGGTGTAGCGGTTTGACACACCGCTTTACTTCCGATGGTCGCGGGTTCGATTTCTCGCACGGTGCAAACATTTGTATGTATGAGTATGAATGTTTGGGTCAGTCTGAGTGTTTGTACTATATACGAGTATATTATGTATTTATTTATAAAAAAAAGTATTTCTATTAGCCATAATACTAGGACTAGATGGTGTTGTGTTAATTGTCCTGTTTAATTTTGTAATGTTGTTATTGTACAAATAAAAAAAAATGTCCAGTGTTATTTTTTTATTAATTATATTATTTTGTTTATACTCTTTATTGCATATAATGAATAAAATAGTAATTATACATACATCAACTTAAGCAAAAGGCGGTGTTATACCTAAAAAAATCATCCAGACGAAAGGGTTCTTAAAGGTTAATAATCTTAAAAACTATTATTACAGATCTTGTCTAATTCGATACATAGTGGTACGTGTTGATGAGGCTCGAATGCTTAGATGGTAGGTGATGTTGGCTTCAGCACATTACGGGTTGTAGAAAATGATAGAATTGCTTATAGTCTTGAATTTAATGGTTAAATACTTTGATAATTACAAATTTGGTGGAGTGAACAAAATGTACGTTAGATCGATCGGTTGATTTTTGAAGTCTGTGTCGTTGTACACATTCCATATAACGCTCCCTTTGTGTTGCGTTTTGTTGCTGCTTGTACGCGACACATAGCAATATGTACACATTCCATATAACGTAATATTTATTATATTATAGTTTATATATAATATTTTCGTGTCGTTAAAAATGTTAGTTACCATACTCCTCCGAAACGGCTTGACCGATTATTATGAAATTGTATATGCATATTTAGTAGGTCTGAAAATCGCCTACTATCATTTTTCATACCCCTAAGTGATGAAAAGTTGTCCACCCCTAATATTTATTTTTATTATTTGGAAAATTGTTATTTTTTTTATAATGTGGCATAAAAATTAAATACAACCCTACATTTTCACCCTTCTATGGGGAACCCTTATTTTTTAATGACGATATTAATTTGTATTGCAAAATAAAGTTTGCTGGTGGCTAGTTTTATAGATATTGACATACAGTTGACTTGACAGTTTTGTGAATCAACTCAGAACAGAACAGAAGATAAATGTGTCAATTGCGATATAGTAAACATTTTAACATCTCGTTTGCTTTAATTCCGATGTTTAAACTTCTGAACTTACGCGTTATCAGCAATTCATTTACCAAATTGGTCCATCTGTGGCACTTTGGTAGACTAAATCAAATATTATCTGTGTAAAATACCTAAATAAATATGGGCATGTCATGTGTAGGAATGAAGAAAATATTTGAAGTAAGGTGTTACATTTGAATGTGGATGTAAGGGAAGACCGAATAAGAGATGGATGGACTGTGTGAAAGATGGTAAGAAAGGGAGTAAATAACGAGATGAATACGGACTAGGGATGAATGGAAGGGAAAAATATATTACGCCGACCACAAATAAATAGGATAAGGAAGAAGCAGATTATGGTGATGTAAAGTAGAATAGAATAGAATAGAAAATCATTTATTCAAATAAACCTACATTGAAGTACTTTTGAATAGTCATCACATTTTTTTTAATCTACCGCTCATTCGGAAAGCTGTCTCATCACAAGAAGAACGAGCAAGAAACTTGTGTGTTGCTATTTTAAACAATTTTATTCTTATTTTACAATTTAAGTTTAAGTGTGTGAATACAAACTACTGATTAGCACTAATTCAATTAAATAATCAAATAGAAAAAATATTGAATATATAACAACTGGTTAAACAATTAATAAGAGGAAATCAGTCATAGCGATTAGAGCAGACCAGTCCCTACAAGCGGCATCCGTTCACGAGTATGACGTGAACGGGTGCTGCTTGTAGGAACTGGTGGGATGTCTAAATAAATATCTGCTATGAGTAGTTCTATGGTTACAAATTAATGTTTTATCATACATTTTATTTTTATCAGTAACTAACTACCTACCCCGGTTTTACAAGAGTGGTGTGTGGTGTACCCAGTTATACCTATACCTTTCTCTTAAAGAACGCTATCTACTGCTAAAAATTGCATTCAAATCCGTTGTATAGTTTTAAAACTTCACATTTTATTTCAGTTATAATGTGTGATTTCAAACTAGCACTAATTTATTAGAGACAAAATATTAAATACACAATAAGATTAAATCAGTCATAGTGATTAGAGCAGACCCGTTCCCACAAGCAGCACTCGTTCACGAGTATGATGAATCAAAATATGCAAATATAAATAAAAAATATACTACAATGGTGGCAAACAAGCATACGGCCCATCTGATGGTAAATGGTTACCGTAGCCTATAGACGCTAGAGGCATAAAAATATTAAGTCAACTAAATATAATATTACATACAAAGAAATACTTCTTAAGTATATTCGTCCAAACTTGTCTTTTCTCAAAAACTCTTACAAAATGATGTCGTTACATAATTTTAATCTATACATATAAATAAAATTGTAGTGTCTGTTGTAATATTGAAATAACCGTTTTTTACTGCATGCATATGAATATAAATACGGTACATACACCAAAATAACACTTTTTTTAAATTTTGTCTGTCTGTCCGGCTAATCTCTAAAATGGCTGGACCGATTTTGACGGGAATTTTTTTGACAGGTAGCTGATGTAATAAGGAGTGAGTTAGGTTTTATTTTAGAAATATAAAGTTAAATTCCAAGCGGACGAAGTCGCGGGTACTGCTAGTACCAACTAAAAATACGAACTTTATTTCTATTATCGAGGCCATCAATTTAATAACAAGACCGTAATTAGCTGTTTGTTGTACAAGAATACTTCTTTATTTTAACAACGAATGAATAAAAATACTAAATTATTGAACAGGAAAATATACATTTGCCCTATCTGAAACACGCTAACTATTTATTTGAAAGATTGTTTAAACTTGAATCAAGTATTTGAGGGATGGTTGATAGATATTTAATTATATTTATGAAATAAAAATGCAATGTTGCGTTGATATCTCTGTTAATTTTGATTTTTATTCTTTTTTTATCTTTCTTTTTTTATTATGTTTTTGCGAATATGGCAACGCACATATTTGTAGGCTGCCAGTTAAATTTATATAGAAATTATACAAAGATATTTCTTGTTGTAACTTTTATTATCTATTTGTTTATGCCTATTAAAAAGATTCCTTCTTGACTGTTAGATACATTTTTACTTGCCATTTATTATATTTCGCACAATTTACATAATATCGTTTTTAATTACAGCCTATGTGCTGTTCTGATGTATAAGCTATATTACTGTAAAGTTTCATTAAAATCTGTTCAGTAGTTTTTGATTGAAAGACTAACAAACATCCATCCATACATCCATACTTACAAAATTTCGCTTTTATAGTATAATATTAGTAATTATTAGATGATAAAGGAATGGTGCACCCGCCTGCGCTAACGGTTTACGCTGGCGGGGCACCAGTGGAGGATGATGAGACGAGCTTGAGGTCAGGTCAGTTACCCCATCGTGACAGATTCATCATGAATTTATCACGATGGTTTCCAGGGGGAACCGCGTGGAGATCAACCTGACATGGTACATTGCTAGCAATAAGACCATCAGTCCACGTTCCTAAGAATTCCTTCCTTTAACCGATTTTTTTTTTTGATGATAATGGAATGGTGCACTCGCCTGCGCTAACGGTTTACGCTGGCGGGGCATCAGTGGAAGGTGATAAGATAAGCATGAGGTCAAGTCAGTTAGCACATCGTGACAAACTCACCAGGAATTTGTCACGATGGTTTCCAGGGGGAACCGCGTGGAGGTCAACCTGACATGGTACATTGCTAGCAATAAGACCATCGGTGGTCCACATTACTAACAATTCCTTTCTTTAACCGTACGTTAGATATTAGCTTATTACAGCTACATAAAAA